ATTGTGAGAACTTTCAGTTCGGAATATCGGATTGCTACCACATCCGAGGACTTGCCAAATGTGGATGCTGTCCGGCACGGAAGGTCCAGGCCTTGAGACGAGGGAGGCCTGGCGGGGGCCACTGAGAAAGGAGTTTGTAGACACTTTATCTGAAGAGTGTGTAGGAGGAGGAACAACTGGAACACTGGAGGAAAAAGGAAAGATACCTTCACCTCAACTGGAAAGGAAACGCATTCTGACTGATGTTATCTGGATATATTTGAAAGTCACTTTCTTACCTGTTTAAATAAACCAAAGTTATGAACCAAACCATCTCTTTTCAAAGCAGGGTGCTCTTCCTGGCTTCTGGCTTCCATAAGAAGGAAATCAGGAGGAAAAAAAAGAACAAACACAAAACTCACTCTACCTGCCAGAGTCCAGTGCGATGGAAGTTTTTACTATAAGTTCACTCACCCCATGCTAGGTGGAAGTAACTTAATTTCTTTTAAAATTAAGCAGCTCTATTCAGTCACCAAGATGCTTCTGAAAATTGCATTTTATTACAGTTTCAAAGTGTTTTTTAAAAATAAGTGCAGTTAACACTGAGTGTTTTCTACATCCATATGAGGATAATTTATTTATTAGCCAGCACCAGATGCATGAGCTAATTATCTCTCTGATTCCTTTCCTTCTGTTTGCCTACAGTAAACTCATTGTTTAAAAGCTTCAAGCACATTCAAGCTGTTGGTATAAGAAAAGGCATTGTATTGATTTGTACTGGTGGTTCATAAAATTTAATTAAAATCCAAGACATGAATGGAAGGTGGCATTGCACAGCTAATAAAAATATGATTTGTGGATTTGATTTCTTCTTGGAATAAAAATGCTGTCTTTAATTTTTGGAAAACAGTATTTTATGTACAAAGCAGAACTTCTCAAGATAATTCCTCACTGAGTGTGACTGCTGGGGTTGCCCTAGGAATTTAAGAGCATTTCTACCTAGTCTCTAGCCAATAGATGCCATGAATATCTCCTACAGTTTTTATTTTTCTCTTTATTCCTTCTCTCTCTCTTTCTCTCTCTCTCTCTCTCTCTCTCTCTCTCTCTCTCTCTCTCTCTCTCTCTCTCTCCACATTTGCACTGCATAATGTTTGTATTCCTTGTGTGGAGTTGGTACATGTACAAAATACATCTTCATTCTTTTTTCTTCTCCTTTCTCTCTTCTTCCCTTCCTTTCTCCCCCTATCTCTTGATCCTCTTTTCCATTTGGAAAATATATTATCTATCTCATATTTTGCTCTGTATTTACATTTTTCATTTCTCATTCATGAGAAGTCATGCAGTATTTAAACTTGTATTTCTGATTTACTTCACTTAATACTGAGATCTCAAAACACATCCGTATTCCTATAAGTGACTCGAGTTTATCTTTCTTTGTAGCAAAATATTATTCTATAGTGTGTAAATACCACATTTTCTTTATCCATTCATCTGTTGCTGCACATACAGGCTGTTTGCAAGATTTAGCGATTATGAGTTGTGATGCTATAAATATAGGTATGCTTGGATAACTCTAATATGATGTCTTTAACTCTTTCTGGATGTTACCTAGAAGGGGACTAGCCTCTAGTCACTATGGATGTGCCCTGGGAGTCCACACCAGGCAAGGGGAAGAGGACTGTAATGAAAAGCCTGAACTATTGATACATTGTACTTGGCCTTTTGAATTACAGGAAATTGAAAAGTGCTTCCCAAGGCCCCTTTCTACTCTGTACTTAATATTTTCATATACTGTGATGACACTGGAGACCTCAGGTCACTGTCTGGCCTGTCCCAACAGTGCTCCTAATGGATTTATGACTGACCAGAGTAAGGAGAAAGAATTTCCAACAATTCTGGTGTTAGAGATCAAATATTTAAGCTGTGAAATTGGGCAGGTCTAAGTCTCTCTCTGTGCTGCAGTACCGGGCGGCACTCCTCAGACTAATCAGCCCTTTGTGCTTGTTCGCATTGCACAAGATGCCCAGGACAATGGATAAAAATTGAGCTTTAAATAAAAATGACTGAGAGTGGCTGAAGAGGTAAAGAAACAACCTGCACAATTCTTTATTTCTTTTAAAAGTTTAGCCAGGTAAAGCAGCTTTATTGAAGGACTGAGGCTCTTAGAAAATTTGGGCAAGCCATCTGTCTCCATGGCCTGCTATCTGTCTCCATGGCCTGCTTGAGACATAAATAAAAGAAAAAGGGCACTAATGCATAAAGGGGATGCTGAAATGTAAACTCACATGGCAAAGGAAAGCAGGAATGAAACGGAAGAACCCAGTGCTCTGTGTCTTGCAAAGGAAGGATGCTGCCAGGAAATGCTGAGCCTCAGGCTGGTGGAAGAGCCTCTCCAACTCTGCACACTCAAGCTGTATCTACCCCCTTTCAGGTGCCTGTTAACCAACTAACTGAGCTGGGCTCTGGAATATGCTTGGAGTTTACCCCTCTGGCACTGATGTACTGATGTAGCTACATCAGAGCCAATGAGTGCCTTTTCCCAGCTTTTCCCTCAAAGAAGACAGGTTGGCATCTTGAATAAGCCACAGTAGTATTTACCCCATGCATATTGGCAATTGGCAAATGCTACGAGTCAAGCCTTGCTACCCCTGTGCCCACCCCATACCTCACATCCCACCTGTTGGTAATTATTTACCAACACCACTGCCTCCAAGTGAGATACCTGGCCTCCTCCTGCTATTTTGCCTCCAAGTTTCTACCCTCCAGCCCCTCTTGCTATCATAAGGTGGTCAAAGTGTCTCTTTCCACACTGCAGCAATGGGAGAATCTGACCAATGAAAATAACTACTTAGGACCTGCTTTACTAATTTGTAAAGTCGTCTGACTCTGAAATTTATCTAATCTCACAAGGATTCAGTACAGTGGGTGGCTATTATCATGGCTTTTCCAGCCAGACAACCGGACTTCAATTCCAGTATTTGTTTTTGGTTTTCGTGTCACTAAATGACTTAAGTTGCCTGTGCTAGGTTCCAAATTGTGATCCTCCTAAGTGCTGGAATTACAGCCACATGTATCACCATGCCCGGCTATAAATTTTATTTCTTCATTTTTGTTTTACTTCATTTCTTCTGTGGTACTAGAAATTGAACTCAGGCCTCATGCAAATACTTTACCAATGAACTACATCCCAGCCCAGATTTCTTTTTTCTTTCTTTCATTTTTCTTTTCTTTAAAGGTATGATCTTACTGGGTAGCCTAGGCTGAATTTGAACTTAGGACCTTCTCTCTTTAAGCCTCCTGAATGTTGGGATTACAGGCATGTGCCACCATCATACTCTTCAAATTCTAGCTCTTTCATTTGAACCTTAAATGAATTTTAATGAGTCACTTAATGTCTCTGTACCTCAGGTTTCTGATTCCGGGTAATGAATAATAAGTGCAATCACACATGTATCATAGGATTGTTGTGAAGAGTAAATGAGTCAGTATGGATGACGTATTGAGGACATGTCACACACAGGCACATGGCAGTTATTTATGACTAGTTAGTATTCAGCACACACCTTATTTATAACTGTATCTGGCAAATTTTGAGCTCAGGATGCCTGGGTGAAATCAGAGCACTACTAAGGACCACGCATTACAGGTTGCTTTTGTCATTCTGAAAACTCTATCTACACCATGGAGAAGAGAAGAGTATAGGAGTGTCTAATGCAGGGGATAATTTTTACTTTAACTTCTGTGCTCAGTAATTTGGAGTTGATGGTTTCCCTAGGCAGTTGGGAGGCATCACATGTTTTTGAAGTAAGGGTTACAGCCAGGAACCTTATGTTCAAAACGCCTACCTTAGAAGGTAAGTAATATCATTACTTCCATTTTCCAGGTGCAGAAAATTGAAGCTTGAAAATGTTAAAAGATATGCCCAGAGGCTCAGCAGGAATCAGGCAGGCTCTGTGCACATCTTATTGCATAGCCAGCTCTAGATGTACTTGAAGGTTTGAGAAAAGAGCTTTGGCCCTGGAGCAAGTCCAGAGCCTGACCTTTTTCTAACCTGGTTTCCCACCATTTCTCTGACCCTACTCCTCCAGCCCCACCTGAGAAATCCAAAGAAGCAATAAAAACTCATTAACACTGTGATCCAGGTTAGAACTCCAAGATGTGAAATTTAAAAACATCTTGAGTAGGAGGGGAGAGCAGGTGGGACACCTGTGTTTAAAAAAAAAAAAAAAACAGGGCTTGACAGTGTTTCTGAGAGCTACTAAAGAGAGATAATGACTTTGGGCCGCTTCTTAGTGGGATGGGTGAGTTTTCCTCCCAACACACATCAAATACCTGGCAGCTTTGTGTGATCCATATTCCGATTAGCTTTATATTTTAATTCAAAGCTATTTCTCCTGGCAAGACTCAGGGATTTGCTGTTGCTGCCAAAAACTGTGGGGACTGTGCCAGTTGGTTAGGGGTGTTGGGAGGTGTTTTTTTCCAACATAGAGAATATGTTCTTTCCTGTAGGCAGAGGGTGCCTTTCAAATGGTCTCTGCATTGCTGAGGCTCTGAATGTGCTCTCTGGAGTAGGCAGCCCTAGCTCTCCTGGGCTGCATCTGGCTTTTTGGCAATTCCAGTAAGAATGTACCCAAACACTGGACATGGTGCAAAAGAGAGGGCAGTCGTGGGGAAGGACACAGCCTGGAGGGCAGGTGTCACTCTGGGGAGAAAAGCCAGCTATGCTCCTTTCTCCACAGTTACCTGAGATGCAGGGATGGCCCAGCCACCTACTGCAGCCTTTGCCCAGATCTCACCAAATGTGGGTCGTGAAGTGGATTCATTTCTTGTTCTTCAGCAGCTGCAGAGTCAGACACTGTATCCTGGGCTGCAGTAAATAGAGCACAGGCATCTCTGTGCCCCCCATCCTTACCCCACCATCCAATCAGGGTTTAAAGACAGTAAGTGACACCACCTGGCATGCTATGGCTTTGAAACCCACTTGAAAATAATTTTAAAACTCAAAAGAATAGAAAATCAAATCAAGTAAAGGCCAAGGGAAATTTTTATTTAACAACTTTTTCTTCCATTTACTTGCCTCAAATGGAATCACGTAAAAATCAAATCAGTGGTGTTGAGCAGTGTTTGCTGGGCTCTATATAATTTTCCAGCCTTTAGGGGAGAAGTTATTCACCATCGTGTTTGGTTCCTGGGGCACAGTATTGAGGAGATCTACATGCTTCATACAGGGAATCCTGTTAGCTGAATAAAACCCAAAGATGGGCAAAGGTGATGGAGTCTCACCCCACTAGCCATCAGGCTTTGCTGCACCCCCACCTGATCTGTTAAGGAGACAGACAAGGTAAGTTACAATGTAAAGTCTTCTGCTCTAAAAGAGAGACAAACACTTGGAGATTTTTAATCAGTATTTAATGGGCAACTGAGTCAGGTTTGTGAATGGCCATTTTGGGGGTACCAATAACCTGGGAGTTGTCAGTTATTCCCTCCTTACAAATCATCCCACAACTCCAGGAGATGAGCTACTGGGATGCCCATCCCATTGGTTGTATAAACTGTCAGTCAAAATGGCCTAGACAGCATGGATGGTACCCTGGTTAGTCCTGCAGCTCCCAGGGAATCACTGCTGTTCACAGAAATATTTCTCTGTCGAGGCACATGACACACATCTTTTCCAATCCTTAGAACCAGGTGACTTTAGTAACTGGTTTAGGGATAAAGAAGGCAAAGCTCACACAGGCTTACTAATAATTTTTTTCAACATTCCACATAGCTAATGATAATAGGAGTGAACCCCAAACTTGTTAGGTTTCTCTCTATCCAGTTACTTCATTATCAGATAATCATCTTGTCACTGATTAAAATGAGAGTACTTTGATTGTTTAAGCTTCCTAATGGTTTCCAGTGTTGGGTAGCAGTGAGAAGTATAAAGATCCCTGAACAAGGAGAGAAGGAAGGATGGCAAGTCAACAAGAAATGGAACGGTAGTGCTCAAATCCACAGAGAATCACCACTGCAGGAGTTGTAACCTTTTGTGTGGAAGTGACAGAGATGAGCAGCTCTCCTAAAGTACATCAAAAAGAGTAAATGAAAATGATGAGGAAGAGGTTACACAAACACAAAGCCAAGAGAAAGCTAAGATTTACAGCTAGCCCAAGGAAGAGAAAAACACAATTCAAGTAGAAGTATTACTCAAAGATAAAATTGTAGGGCCGGATGTGGTGACACATGCATATAATTCCAGTACTTGGGAGGCTGATATAGGAGGGTCGCTGTGAGTTCAAGGCCAGCCTGGGCTACAAAGTGAATTCAAGGTCAGCCTGAACTTTAGACTGAAACTCTGCCCCAAAAAGACAAAAAAAAAAAAAAAAGGAAAAGGATAAACTTGTAAAAAATTTATGTTCTGGGGCTGGGGATTTAGCTCAGTGGCATAAGCGTCTGCCTTGCAAGCAAGCAGTCGTGAGTTCAATCCCCAGTACCAATAAAAAGGAAAAAGACAAAAAAAAATTATTTTCTAAGAAAGATGTGTATTTTGACCTAAAAGTGTTTATTATGTTACCTTCAAAACTGAAGGCAAAGAGTTTCCCACAGACATGTACCCATCATATCCTAAAAGTACCATTGTGTCTTCTCCATCACCAAATGGCAGAAGCCCCAAGCATGTGTGAAAGCAATGTTTGGACTCTCGTGTATTAATAAAGCTACTTTTGTAAAAGGGGCAACTGAAAAAATTTAGGTCATTAAGTCTTCCTCTTTAACTTACAAGCAGATTTCATGCCATATAGTATATGCTTTTATACTAAATGGGTAGTTTAATTTCAAAGCATTAGCTCAAAGAGGCAATTTTTATATAAATGAACTGGAGATATTTTTGGTGGTCTGTCCATTCCCCATCTTCACGTTTGCTTTCTCTTGATCCTTTTTCTCTTTAACTATACTTGTGCTTTTCTTCTTCCTAGGGTGAGACAGGAGCCAACTCACACATCTCGATGAGGCTAGCACGCTGGTGCAGGAAGGGACAAGCTAACTTTCCTATGCAACCTAGCACAGCAGGGTAGGACGGGATGAGAACCAGGGGTTTTACGAATGACCTGATTAGTAAGGAGGTTCAGGTGTTACAGGAGCAGTGGCCAGGACATGTGGAGGGAGATTCCCAAATCTACTGAAGATAAAAATCAACTAAGGCACAGAGTAGCATTTGAGATGGACCCAGTCTTTGAAGATAGGCAGAGTCCCTGGGGTTGATAACCTGGCAGTAACATAAGGAGAACTTCCCTGACCAAGAAATTTTGGGCAGATGGGTCAGGAATCTGGGCTCACAAGGCAGTAGGAGAGGACCAAGGTCAAGGTCTATAAACCACCTTATATCGTCACTCGAATCAGACACTAAATCCAAGCCTCTTCAATTCCACATCAATTTCTGAATTCCATAAAGAATTTCTTTCCCAAAACATTCCCAAATTCTTTCCCAAAGAATTTCAAGTATTATTTCTGGCCATCATATCATGTGACACTAGATGCTTTCTCCTCTGAGTGTCAGTAATCAGCATGAAAATAGTATAGGATTCAAGTATGTTTCCCCTTGTAATAGCCAGTGTTATGATTTGTGTCTAGATTCTCCCTCCCCTTGCCAAGCTTCATGTGATCTTAAGACTTTCTCATAGGTGGCTGAATCTAGTGTGCAATGCTGGGATTAAGGACAGTGACTGGTGATCAGTCCAGATACTGGATTGGCACTGCCCTAAACCTGGTAGACTGGATACAGTATGAGGGACAGAAAAAGGTCTGTCTCCTTTTGAATTTTGTTGCTTTTGTTGTCTTCCTCCACCATGAACTGTTGCCCATCTGCCATGCGCCACTCTACCTTGGAGCCAAGCCGTTTACGGCCTGAAACCTCTACAAACTATGATCTAAACAAACCTTTCCCTTTTAACTTTGGGTGCTGGTTATTTTATCTTAGCAACAAATGAAAAGTAACTAACACTTTATATTAGTCCAGCTGGATCATTTCCTACTATCTAAACCTTCCTCCAGTCGTGTAGTGAAGGCTATCATATAACCATACGTATGTGCTGATGGAATCTTAGGTAACTGCATAACTATTATGACTGTCAGGTATTTCATTCATTCAAGTGAGCAATACAACTTAAGATTAAAGAGTTGGATGAAAATAATGAAGACCACCCAGTTAAAAATATCTTCTTTCAGAAGCAAAAACAGTTTCGGAGAGGTAAAGAGCCTTGTCCAAAATTATACAGAAGAGTGGGAAGAGACAAAAACAGGAAAGGCCTCTGCATAATGTCTGCCACATTGCAGAAACAAATGCTGAGACGGGCTCTTATAAAAGTCTAAGGGGCTGGGGATTTAGCTCAGCACCATAAGTACTTGCCTTGCAAGCAGGCAGTCGTGAGTTCAATCCCTGGTACCCATAAAAAAGAAGAAGAAGAAAAAAAAAGTCTAACAATGGAAACCATTTCAGTTCATTATGACTCTGCAGCTATGAATGGGTCTATGAGAGGTGCAGACCCATAATTATATCAGCTACTATATTAGTTCCCTGAGGCTGCTGCAAAAAATTACCATAAACTCAGTGACTTAAAGTAGACATTTACTGTTTTTAGTGCTGGGAGCTAGACAGCTGAAATCAAGGTGTCTGCAAGGCCATGTCTCCTCCTGAAGCTCTGGAGAGAATCTGTCTCATGCCTCTCTCCTGGCATCTGTCCCCAGTCTCTGGTGTTTCCTGCCCTGCAGCAACATCATTCCTGCCTCTGCTTGTGTTGTCCCCTGGCCATCTTCTCTGTGGGGCTGTTTCTAAATCTCTCTCTTTGTGAGGATCCTAGCCATTGGCTTTAACTCCATCTGCAAAGACCCTGTGTCCTAACAAGGTCCCACTCAAGTATAGGATATTAGCAATTCAAGGTATCTTTTTGGGGAACACAAGGTATCTTTCTGGGGAATCCAATCCACAAATAATATGCAAACCACTGACTTACTGTGGTCTTGTCTATGTACCACTAAGAACAAGTACTGTCTCCATTCCTTAGAATGAGGAAACAAACTAACAGACACTTGCTCATTTTCCTGCAGCATGCATATATATATATATATATATATATATATATATATATATATATATATAATGTGTTAAGACTCTCATAAGACTCTCATAAGACTCTTATCCTGGGGCTTGGGATTTAGCTCAGTGGCCTAAGTGCCTGGCAAGCGGAAAGTTGTGCGTTCAATCACAAAATGAAATGGATACCCCCCACAAAAGACTCATCCTACATTTTAAAATGTCCAATCAAATTTACACTTATGAGTTGTTTTTCCACTACCCATACACACACCACTAAGGGAGGTACATTTTGTGCATCATCTCATGCATTAGTAAGGACTTCGTCCACATTCCCAACCCAAGGTGGAACTTCACAAAAAACAGTCCCCTGAGAGCTTCTGAGATTATACAAAGAGGCAGTGAAGAAGTCACAAAAAACTTCACAGAAGCTACTGGGCTTTGAATTACATCCAAATTCCTGCAGTTTCTTCTGTGTTTGCTTTATTTATATCCATTATTAAGGTCACATCCTTCATGTGAGGTCACTGCTGAAATAGAGACTCTTCTCTCTTTACTGTTGGAATGCAGATGAAGCAGAAGTCATTTTCCCTTGACACTAAACCCCAGTGTTTGTGCAGAAGAAGGGTTTCTATGAGGACTTCCTGGAAACTTTCTGTATTGGCTCCACTGCAGGGTGACTTTGGCTTCATATACAAAAGTCAAGAGAAAGCCCAGCCGGAAGTCCTATGATGACCTGGACAGACAGTTACTTGAAGAGCTCCAGGTAGTCAGGCGGGTGCTCCTGCTGACCACAGGGGTAGAGCAGGAGCTCCTTTCCCAAGGACGTTATGGGTTCCTCCTGTCAATCAGAAGGCACACAGTCAGGATGCATTGTGCTGTAGATGCCCTTTCTACCTCCTCAGGGATACTACTCCTGTATCCTTGATTTACACAAGCTTTGCTGGTTTATGACACTCTTTAAGAGATTCTCATCCCCACACTCTTTTTCTCCGAGGCTTGAATTCTAACTTAAGATTCATTCCCAGACTCAACTTTGTTAGTATCTCTGATATTCTCTACCACAGTGGAGTCTCCCTGAGTGTTTGAGGAATAACAAGGTTCTGAGATAAAAGAAATGCAATTAAGAATCCTGACTATTAGGAAAAATTATCAAAGATTAATCCGCCCACTACTTATCTCAATTATTTTTCTTGTAATTGCCTTTCTTTGTTAGAGTTGCTATAGGACAGTACTTTAAAAAGCAAACTGAGTTTATGAATCACTCTACCTTGTGATAGTCCACCAAATCGGCCAGGGAGGCGTGCTGCAGCTGGTCCACACCCAGGAAGCTGTAGGAGTCGGCAGAGGCATCTATGAGGAAGTGTTTACAGCCTTCTTCTGACAGGTAGGATAGGGCATAGCCTTTGATCTTCTCACTGACTCGGATCAGAAAACTTCCCGGCACGCCTGTGCTTAGGAGCTCATTGGCTTTCTTTAGTGTAAGAATTCCTGTGGGAAAGAGGGGGGGAGAAACAACAGCACATATTTCAGCCAATTCCTGAGCCTTCTGTAAAGTCTAACTATATGGATAAGGGTTAGTAAAAAAATCAGAACCACTGTAAGTGTATTTACTATATTTATTCAGGTACATTCGGGAACTGGACAGGGAGAGGGAGAGATTTTACAGCCTAATGGATACTATCAATAAGCATCATGTTAACTTTAAGAAGAACACATTCCCACTTGTGTACTGCCTGATTGCAGCATAGGTGGCTTTCAGCTTAGGAGACAGGATGGCAGGATGCCCCGATGTCATACTTGGGAGTGTCAGTTTGGAGGAGATGTAAGATGCCCTGTGCAACCCCATGCAGTCTACTGATGAGAGCTCAGTGGCTTAGAGAATGATGTCACCCAGTCTAGAACAGTGGTTCTCGACCAGAGTGATGTCTGAGAGACATTTTTGATGGTCGTGGATGGGACTGCAATTTGCATCCAGTGGGCAGAGGCCAGCGGTGCCATTAAACAGCCTCTGATGCACAGGACAACCTCATACTACCAAGAACTGAGCACCACAGAAGTGTCAACAGTGCCAAAGGTGATTGAGCAAGTTAGTGACACAATCATGATGGACACTGCCTTCCCTTGCAGTTTCCCCTCAGTGGATGTATCCATTGATGTCCACAGAAATATATATATATATATATATATATATATATATATCTATACATATATATATATATATATAATGAAGTTTTATATGGAGAGTCATAGTTGGATGCTTCAGGAATCCCACCAGCTTTCCCCCCAACTCATGAGGATCCAAAGTCCCATTATTCCTATTGTAATTCTTCCAATGAATAGGTAATGTCGTGAAGCATACAGGAAGAGCACCAACATAGCAACTTGCTGAATTATTCAGGGAGCTCTGCTTTGGCAGGAAGGAGCAGCATTCCCTTCATGTCCTTTTTCATTTCAGTAAACTGAAGCTCTTGACTTTGCCTGTTCCACAATTAGCTCCCTGGCAATGTTCAGTACCTCATTACCATGAAAGCAAGCAAGCAAAAACCTACTCGTTAAAAAGCAATGGGTTACCGTCATCTTTCTGATAGAAGTGAACTCTCATCACCCTTAGTACAGTGTAACATAAAACCACTTCTGCTCTCTATTCTGCAAACAGACTTTTAATGAGGGAGGGAGTTAAACTGCTTGTTTCCCCCAGCCAAGATCAATCCACTGGCCTCTCCTACCTGCCCTTCTCCTGGGCACCATTCGGTGGATGTGGGTGCAGGTCTTACATCACAGCACCCAGTGTGAGAACTCAAGTCTAGCACTAAGGTTTGGGAAAAGGCTCAGCAGCATACAGGGAGGATGTGGCCCTGAAACTGAAGAGAATCTCTGTCCTCTCTTCCATGTGCCAGGCTCTACTGCACCTACTTTGAATAGGACACCAACACATATCTGTGGTACACATCCTGCCCAGCTAGCTGCCTGACCTTTCCCTGATAAGCCTGGCTTTCTGATACCTGCAGACCTGGCTGGCACTGAGCAAGTGTCCTCATGCAGACGCTGGCCTTCTAAGAGGTTCCAATGGTATCCGGCACACAGAGGCTTCTGTGCATATTGCTCAATTGCACCTTCCCAAACACAGCTGGTGCCACCGATAAGCTACACGTGACAACCAGAGTGGGAGCACAGCTACAAGCAACCAGTCTGTGCAGGGACTGCCCGAGACAGAGGTCTGAAGACACCATATGAGATTAAGAGGGATATAAGGAATGATCAAAACATCTGATGAATGCTACTTCTTGATGACCATCAATGAAAGGACAGGCAGACCGATAAAAACATCACAGTGTGTCCTCATCCACCTTATTTACCAGAGCTGATGCTGCTCAACTTCTGGATCGTCCCCAAAGTCAAAATGACCATGAAAAATAGACATTCTGAATCAGCTCGGAACATTGAGGGAGCTACAACGGGCAACTAAAGATACTCACAAAAAAGGACTTCCAGAACTGCTCCAGAAAGTGGTGAGAAAGTTGGGGTAAGTGTATTTGGAATAAGGGAGAGAATTTTGGTACTGGGGATCGAACTTACAACCTCACACTTGCCAGGCAGGTGCTGTGCCACTGAACCATATCCTTGGCTGAGGGGGAGAATTTTGAAGGAGATTAAAGGCAATGTAGCTTTCAATGATTTCACACACACCTCACTGGCACTAGAAAGCCCCCTTCAGAATGAAGGGCTTGCTAAACTAAGATTGGCATTGGCAGAGTAGCAGAGTTCTGGAAAAGATTTCTGTCTCCCTACGACATTACCAACATGCTAACTCTGAAATTCCAAGTTTCCTCAACCCTTGGAGCAGAAGTTGCAACTTATAAAATCTGGAAGTTATTCACATGTAGTTAGATTTCTACAATGAAAGAGATTCTAGAAAATTACAACCAAACCTGGGCTAAGGTCAAATTCCTCCTCGAATCAGTGCATCAGTGAGCATAAATCACAGTGCCCGCAAGCCTCCTAATGGCTGTAATCATCCACCTCTTACGCACTATTGTAGTGAAAGGGAAAAACTGCGTAAGAGAAATTGTTCTTTTTAAAACTTTGTTCTTTCAAAACTGCCGAGCTCCACAACTGCTTTGTGGCTTTAAAGTTAAGTTTCTTGACCCCTGTAACCATGAGAACATAACCAAACATACAGTATACCCGATGGCACCAAGCTTCATAAACTGACGATCATTAATCTACCCCTGTAACCAATGATCTCACCCTGCAAGCTAATCAGAGCTGCCAGGCTGTTCCATCTCGCCTTTGTACTTCCTGCTTGTGCATCATATAAAAGCCCCACTAGAAATCTAGGCCTGCTTTTCTGGGAATGATCCCGATCAGTGCCCATTGACGTAAACACATCTGCCTCCAAATCCTGAGTGTTGTTTTGGTTGTTTCTGCTTGCTGTTGCAGTAGCACTAATTTCCTGAGATACCAGAACACAATAAAATGCTCTTGTAAATCTCAGGTTGTAATGGAAATGCTGAGTGCATCACAGGGAGGAGACAGGTTCAAAGGTGAGTGCCACAGGCTCTGGGCTTTGTGTGATCCAAGGAGGTGAGTTCTTCTTGCTTTGTAATAGGGTTTTGTACCTTAGGCACACACTCTCTTGGTACATTTAAAAGTGTAGGTTGATGTATATGATCCTTTTCATTAAGGTTTCAAGGCAGTGGATGCCTTCAGGTTACCCCCACTGTGCTGTGCCTACTTCCTGAGGGTAAAGTGGATTCCAACACCGAATACAGTTGGCTGTGGACCCTCCAGTGTCAACCACCCCTGGCTTTCCCTCGCCCACTGTGAATTCTGAAGCAGGACCTTGATACTTCTGTCCTCCAGCCAGCTCTCTGTTCACAGAGAGTTTCTGTTCTAGTGAAAGTGATACATGAGAGATTTATTTCACAAGTCTACTGGAGCACATTTTCAACACAATAATCAGTAATCTATCTTAGATCTGGATCCAGGCAGAAAGTAGCAGAACCATGGCACATGTCCCTTCAGGAGCTCTCTCGCAGAGCCTGCACGCTCAGTGTGTAAGTTCACACAACTCCCCTCTCTGTGTGATGCCTGGGCTCTCAGAGCAACACTATGCGGCAGCATCTTCCTATGCTAGTAGAAATGTCCCCTGTGCCAGCCATGTGGTATCCACCAGCCACAAGTGACCACTGAGACCCTTCAATGGAGCTCATTGGCATTGCTGAGTGATTCAACTTTACTTTTGTTTAGTTTTCACTAATGATGTGGAGAGCCACGTGTGACCTGGCTACTGCTCTGCACTGAGTAGCTCTAGATCTCTAGATTTATCCTGGAAAGCCAAGCCCAGAACAACTGCTTTTCACACAGTCAAATACCCTAAGGGACTCGAAGTAGCTGAGAAACCCTACCAGGGCCTTAGTAGGAAATCCAAGAGGCAGTGACTGCCCCACAGGGAAAAGGTAGGTGGATAGGATGCCCTCTTTATAGCTCTCCCAGAAAACTCCTACTCAATCTGCAAGGTCCAACACAAGGGTATGGAGCACTTGGATACCTATATGGAAGACTCAGTTTCTTCCAAGCTTATGGGGCAGGTGGCTATCATCTCCACCTAGACTCTCACCTGGTACTCAGTTCGGTCAGGGCACTCCCAGCACGATGCCCCCATCGAGCTGCCCTTCTTTACTTCCTTATGAGATACAGAGGGCAATGGTTGGGCCAACCTGCAATGACACACTCTGCAACTGCCATTTGGAAGATGCCCAAGAAAGGTCCAATGAATGCTCTTACAACACAGTTGAGCTTCTGATTTCTCTGGAGTACTTTCTGGTAGTCACCACCTCTGGTCTGAGAACTGTTCTACAGGGACAAAGGGTACACGCTACACATCTCTGAAGTATCACCAGGTGTGCATCTGCTTCTGAAAAATACACCTTAGAGGTCAAATGAAAGGTAACCAAATAATGACTCAAAGTATGAAGACCTTGTTTAATCTTCACAGCAAGCTTGCAACAAGGACTAGCATTAGCCTCAAAAAAAAAAAAAGCCTCAAATTTGTATCATAGGAAGCTGCAGAACTGATTAGGGTCACTCAGGCAGGAGCAGGCTGGAAGAGCCCAGAGCCTGGTGCCCAGCCACCCCGAATATCTATCCTTGCCCAGCAGTGCTCCCCTCTTATTTCCATTGAATCCTCCAACTACTCTAGCACAGGCTAAACTGATGTTGTTATTGTCCTCTCTTACTGATGAGCAAAGTTAGGCTACTGAGTGTAAGTGCCAAAGCCATAGGATTAGTGAGTGATTGTTCCACATCCCGGTCTCCCACTCGAGTGGTTATTTTTAATCTGCTTGGATCAGGAAATTTTACTGGAACGAACTGCAAATAGGATATGAGTGCTCAGGCACTTAACATGGAAGCATTTCCCAGGGAAGGTTTAGTGTGGTCTGGCTGGTCACGGGTACAATTCCTAGTGCTCCTTACTCTCCCAGGCTCAGGATTCAAGTTCCGAGGACTGAGGAACTCTAGACCTAGGCTGCAGCATCTCCTCCACTACACTTGGAACCATGGGACATCAAGGCCACTGAGGAGCTGCTGGTGCTGTGAGCTGTCCTGGATTCTTTGCCCTGCCATCTCTCCGTTCTGCAGTCCCTGCCTCTTGGGATGTGCCCAGGAAGGGTGACAGGAGGGGTAAGTATGAAGACAGTGTCCCAAAGGAACCTGAGATTGCCACATGGCAGCTGCCCAGGGAAGGGGAGAGTGAAGCAACCGACTACTGGGAGGGCTTATTCCAGGCGGCAGCCCTGCCGGACTCTGAGTGCACACTCTTGTTGCTTTCTTTAACCCCTTCTGCATTTAAGGGCTGTGTTTTTGGAAAGGCTCCTGGGCCTGCCTGAGGTTCAATCTAGAAAGAGTGCATACACCCATAAGCTCTCACCTTTGAAGTCAGGAATGACGAAAAAGGCTAGAGCTCTTGAAATATTATTGGAATGTTTACTTCGCAATTCAAGATTACAGTGATTCGTAACTATTTATTTTCTCTTTACTTCCTTAAGGACTGCCTCTTACTGCCTGGACTTGTTCACTACACACAGCTCTGAGGCATTGCATGTATGGAGTCCTCAGGCCTCTACACCATACAAAAATGGACAGAAGTCATGGGACATTCCCAGGGGCACATGGGCAGCTCCTGAGGGACCCTGATGTGAAGCCAGGCAGTGTGGCCTTGGAGATGTGATCTTGATCACTACTTACGTCACTGCCTTCCTTCCCCTGGCTTAAAGAAACAGTGTCTACCATCATGGCATGACCTGAAAAGTCCTCAAGAAAGCACATGTGGACAGAGACAAGTCTCATGAGAGTATTATGCCATACAGCAGAATTGCCCTCTCCACATGAAGTCATCAGTGGCACCCCTGAAGCAGTCATCCGCATGGCTTCTCATACACCCACACCGACCCCTGGCCTCTGATGTCCCTCTGGGTAACCTTGGGACTCCACAAACATAGAGGGGACCTACAAGACTAGTGTCCATTTGTAACAGGAAATGTGGGGCTCTTGGTCCCAGGGCCTTGACATCCTAGGGTTGACGGTATCAGAGTCAAAATATGAACACATCATCTGCAAAATCTCAAGAAAGACAGGGGTTCAGTTGAGTATGGTCATGCACACTGGGAGGCTAAGGCAGGAGGACCATGGGTATCAGCCAGCCTGGGCAACTTCTCAACTCAAAATTAACAAGCAGAAACAGAGGGAGAAGGAGAGAAAGAGAGGAGAGAGAGAGAGGAGAGAGAGAGCGAGAGAGAGAGAGAGAGAGAGAGAGAGAGAGAGAGAGAATAGAGAGGAGGAGAAGGAAAAGAAGAAAAGAGGAGGAGAAAGAGAAGGAGGAAAAGAAGCTCGAGGATGTAGCTTAGTCCAAAGCCTTGGATTCAATCCCAGTACTGGAAAAAAATAAGAGAGAGGGCAGACGTTCATGGATAACCAGCAACATTAAGAAAAAAATGAAACAACGGTCCCTTTTTTTCAGGAAGTTTGCTGTATTTAGTCATTTATAGGAAAATTCAGAGTGTCCAGAAGAAAACAGCAATGTGTAGCATTTTCCATGATCAGCTAGTTTTCCCCAAAATAAATTCATGCAGCTTTAGCTGACTTCTATGTAACTTCCAGTTACTTTCAGAGTAAACAATCTGAACAAACAGGAGGTTGCTACACATGAATCTATGAAGAACAATCTCGACAAGTTCTGTGACACCATCAATATTTGGGAAGCCTCCTGGCTCTAAGAAGCCTCACTGGTCCCTCAAAAAGTCAGGGTAGTGACCACCAGGAAACCAGCTTCCAATTAGTTGCACTTCCCTCTGGCACAAGCAGCAACACACTCTCACTGCTGATCATGGCTACCCATGTGCCCCTGGGAAAGTCCCATGACTTCTGTCCATTTTTGTATGGTGCAGAGGCCTGAGGACTCCATACATGCAATGCCTCAGAGCTGTGTGTAGTGAACAAGTCCAGGCAGTAAGAGTCAGTCCTTAAGGAAGTAAAGAGTAAAGGAAGTAAACCAGCTGCTGTGGACCATCCTTAGAAGCTTAAGAACAAAAGGCTTTGAGCAGTCACCTAAACTGGTAGTTTTTACTTAGAAGACAGATGCTTTTGTGAGGGTGGGCAGCATTTGATCAGCCCCATGAATAAGAAATCATTACTCCACAGAAACATAGTTGAAGTATAGATCAACTCACAGGTTTGCTAAGGTTGTAGCCTGAAAGGCACCTCAGCAAGCATCTGTGAGCCTTTCTGGGTACTGTCTTCTCAGGCTGGGGTGGTGTCTGGTCCCAGTGCTGAAGGAGATGGAGGATGACAAGTGGCCAGATGGAGAGGTATGAAAGAAAACAGGACACCACCTGACAGTCGTCTCCTGGGAACTCAGGTTCCAGAGCACAACTGCTCCCACAGAGATAGAGCCAATTTGCCCCCCAAGGGGACCGTGACAGTGTGATGTGTTGAAAATGAATGTGGTCAAAATAGCTGCAGTCTGAACCACACTGGCACTGCACCAAAGTTAAAGGGAATTTCTTTTTTAAGTAGCTTAAAATATAAACTACTGGGATTAAAGCATTCAGAGGACAGGCTCCGTTATATACCGTGACTGCAGAATACATCTACCAGAAATGAGGATGGGAAAGCTATTCCATCAACTGTCTACTCGTAGCCACACTAGAATAAGAAATTATTAATTACATTTCAGAAGGGAAATGATCAACCATGCATGCATAAGGCAAACATGTGAATTCTCCAGCAACAGGAACAACTGGAAAATTCCTACATCAGAAATCTTTTGTGCATTTATTTCTAAGTTTCCGCCCACCTTCATTCCCCACCCTGCCAATTACTCAGCTCCCACTCACCGCTGCCTATTTAAAAGGACGGGGGAAATGTTGGCAGACAGAGTGAATAAATGATCTGGGAGCTTCTAGACAGATCTTTAGTTTTCTTTATGCTTTGACCCCTTCTCTAGGATGCTTCAAAGCATGTTATTGGGTCTAATTAATTACACACCCGCGTACTTTGGAGATTCACAAGCAGGAGCTATAATGCGTAGGATGAACTCTGTTAATTAGCGGGCCTGACAGTTAGGGGACTTTCCAGCACTTAACACTTACTGTACAAACATCAAAGGCTAGACGGTCTGTCACAAAGACCACTGTGATACTGTCACCAGATGCAAGAATAAAATGAACAAAAATAAAGACTAGATTCAAGAGTCAAGATAGGCCTGAACTAAAAACAGGATAGGAAAACAGGAGAAGAAAGTGTAACAAAGACACAAGAAAGTGATCTCCAAAAGGAAATAAACCAAGACTGTAAGTCCACAGAGAGCATTCCTTCAGCAACCCCCTCCACCTCCCTGCTTTCCCTCCCAGCCCATCGCGGCCTTCTCAGGCAGGCAGACTTCTCAGCAGCTTTCTGCTTTCTCTGCATGTGGGCTGCTGGCCTGTGTTCTTCCAAATCACTGTCACCTTCTGAGGTGACCTTGGGGCTCCTTTAAGGACAGGCTCGGAATAAGTATTCATGGACCCAGCATGGGACAGTTTCTGCAGGAATCAAGATCTGTTTTGCTAAAGTGCAGCCTGTGCCTTGTAGACAATATCATTAGCCAAAATGATAGGCCGCAGCAGGGGTGGGAGCATGGGAGGGAAGGGAGGCAGATCAGGAGAGGACAGCACACCCTCAGCCGCTCGGCCCTGTAAGCCCTGGCGGACGCGCTGTGTGCCAGGGCTGCACTGAGCATGGCACAGGTATGAGCTGACCTGCTTTATAAAAACAAACTCGTGACATGTATTAATCATTACCCTCATTCACCGAAGCAAAAAACACAACCCCAGCCTCGGGAATCTGGTCATTAAATTTGAAAACTCACGCTTCCCTCATTTCTCATTTTTTTCCCTTCTGGGCTACATGTGAACCACTAGGACATCCAGCAACAGCTACGTATGCCATGAAAATGAGAAAGCGACTGCACATGCCCGAGGAATACACAGGCTCAAGAAAGAGTCTGCACTTCAGGTTAATCCTAGGCACAGAGACAGCCCATAACCAGGAAGCAAGATAAAGCACAAACCTGACACCCAAACTAAACTGTACATTATGAGATGGTTAAATTGGAAAATCTTATGTAACACATACTTTAATGAAGAGTGTATAAATAATGAGGTCTCTATACCTCATATTATATGCTAAAGTAAATTATAAGTGGATGGGGTGTGATAAAAACAAGCAACAACCATAAAAGAAAAAGAGCTAAACTCAACATCACTAAAAATTAAAAAAAAAATCTATCCTTCAAAATATGCCAGGAAGTTACAAGATAAATTGCAAACTAGAGGGAGGTATATGTAACCTATATAACTGACAAAAGATGTAGTGTCCAGAATATATAAAATCACATAAATCAGTATAAAAACTCAATTCAATGGGGAAATGTTTAAAAGATCTGCAGAATAATTATAGAAGACACTCATCTAGCCTGCAAACATGCAGGTACTCTGCCTCAATACCTCTTATTACAAACTCTAAGAACCACTGTGCACCGCTGGGTGGATGGAAAATAAAATCTAACAATATCAAGCACAGGTATGGGGAAAACAGACCCAGGTGCTGTCACAGAGAATGTACTGGTATAATCACTGTGGAGAGCACTGGACAAACACAGGTTGAAAATTCCTTAACTGAAATACTTGAGATCAGAAGCATCTCAGATTTCAGTTTTTCAAATTTTGGAGTATTTGTGTAGACTTTACTAGTTGAGCATTCCTACTCCAACAATCTGCAATCTGAAATGTCCTAAAATCTGAAATTTTTGGAGCAACATGTTGGTTCACAGCATTTCAGATTTTGGATTTTTTAGATTAAGGATGCTCAAACTATAATTAAAGATACCCATACTCTACTTCCAGAAATTCCACTTTTGGATATATTCCCTGAAGAAGTTATCATATATGTGTACAATAAGACATGCCCAAGGGTGCATACTATATGGTTTTCCATAACATAAAAAACATATCAAATGTAGGAAAAGGGATGAGTAAGTATTAATATGTGCATATATGTATAATATATAATAAAATGAATGAGCCAGCCTCCATTTATAAAGACAAGTCCAGACAACGTAATTTTAATATAAAATATGTGTAACATGATAGCTTGCAAATATTAACCACAATGCTGCACATTTCATAGAAGCATATATATGAGTCCACCAAAAACATGCATGCTTCACAAAAACAGTATGAAGTTTTTTCAGCAGATAGTGTTACCCTCGTATAGCAGATTCCAGAAAATGTCGTATATTAGAAACTCTACTATATTGCTGGCCCTTAGAGAAGAAATTTAAAATGCGTGTGCAGCAATCTCAAGGACCAAAGTGACCCAAGCGGCGGTTCTGTGTGCCAATAAATGCTGGGAAGGTTGCAGCCACCACTTGGAGCACCCCTTGTAATTGCAGAGGCCAAAGGTAACTTATAAACCTCATGATGGCTCAATAAACTTAGTACTGAAATATTTATGTAAGTTTATTTTTTCTTAAAGTGTGTATGCAGTTTTTGGTGGACTCTGTATATATATTTATAGTATAAAATATGGATGAACAACAGCTTCGGGACAGTGGCTTCCCATTGCAGCAGAGAAGGAAATGGAATATCAAAAGCAACACAGAGACCTTAATGCTATTTGTCACATTTTATTTTTAAAAATAGAGATGAAGTAAACACGGCTGTGAACATTCAACATATCTGCAGAGTAGATCTAACATTTCTTGTATGATAATGATAGTTATTTTCTCAAAAATTTTTGATTTATAGTATTTCATAAGAAATACTAATTTTCGAAGGAGGAAGAAAACTAAATTCACCCCATCCTTTTCATTACTGTGGTTTTTGAGGGGCTATTTTTTTTTTTTAGCTCCCTTTACCCAATTATACTCTGAAAATTTAAATCCAGCTATTAAAGAGATGAATGTTGTCTTTTGCATACAGGTCCACAAAAATCTTACCTAGATGATTACTTTAAAGGTTAATTTTATATGTCAACTTGGTTGGGCCACAATGTTCAGATATTTTGTCAAAACTTATTAGAGATATTTCCATGAAGATGTTTGTTTGTTCATTTGTTTCTTTGTTTTGAATGAGATTAATATTTAAGTGGATGAACAGTGTGTATTGTGTGGGTGGGCCTCATCTAACCAGCTGAAGGCCTTAACAGAGAAAAGGTTGACTCTCTCAGTATAAGAAGCAATTCTGCTGCAGATGATCTTGGGTGAAGCCACCATTCTCTCTGCTTTTCTACTCTGCTTCCTACCTCATTAGCTTAGTCACGTGAGCCAGTTCCTTCAGATGACAGCTACTGAAACATATAGAGGAAGAACCACCAGCAAAGTCTTAAAATGGGGACAAGGGCAGTGTTTGGGGGGACAGATAGGAGGCATGTAGTAGGGGAACAATGAATGGGGTGCGGAGAATGGTTTGGTAGCTCTGAAGGAGAGACAGCGGCAGATCAAGGTGGCCCTGGAGAGCAGTTTGGGTTTTACCTGCCTTGCAGTTTGAAGGCGTGGAGGATGGAGCACAGGAGTGGAAGGAGGGAGACCGGTTAGGGCTGAGAGAGGAGGCAGGCAGAGAGCCCAACACCTGTCACGCTGTTATTCGTGGCATGGTGACACCTAGAGCTTGTACCGCGGAAGGGCCTCAGCGAGGCAAGGCGCTGGAGACATGTATCACAGTGCTTCAGGGTCCTCATAAATGAGGACCCTGAGGGGTGGAATGTCTGGATTAGTTAAAATTAGCCATATTTTAAAATATCAAGAAATCAGCAAAACATAAACTACATAATCCTTTCCTAAGGCCCGCCACCACTCTGCAGGAGTGTCTGCGTGGTCACAATTCTGTGGTCACACAGTGCAAGAGCAAGGCCGCCCATCTGCAGGGAGGTCCTTCCCACAGGACAGGTGGCAAAACCTCCTGGAAATGATCCAGCACGTAGGGCCTGGAATCAGTGCCCAACCTGAGGAATGTGGGCAGCAGCCCAGAGATGGCCAGCTGGTCAGCTTCATTTCCTCTGCTTCCTAACACTGAGTCAACCCAGATGAAAATTAGCAATATGCTTTATCACTATAGAAAATTAGCGAAAGTGTGAATGAACTTCAGATGCTCATTGGAGGATATGAAAGGATCCAAATGTGGTTTGTCCCCACCAAAACTCACACTGATGCTTCAGTCCTCAGTGCCACAGTGGGGAGGTGGGGCTTTCCAGAGATGATCCTTAAGTAAGAGGGATCAGTAGCCAGGTGTGGGGACACATGCTTATAATCCTAGCACTCTGGGAGCCAGACGCAGGACTATCTCAAGCTTGAGCCCCACTTAGGTGACTGAGCAGTTTAGAAAGATCCTGTCTCAAAAAAAGAAAGGGCTGTGGAACGGAAGTAGCTCAGTGCAAAAGCCTTGGGTTCAATGTATTTCAAGGATAAAAATAAGGCTCAATGCCTTTACCCTGAGAATGGGCAGGGTGAGTTGTTGCACTCATGAGAATGAATTAGTTCTTGCAAGAAAGGGTATAAAGGAAGGCCAACCCACGTGCTTCAGCACACAGCCATTTCCCCTCCTCTTCTCCACCACGGACTGAGCAGCACTCAGCCCTCACCAGAAGCTGAGCAGATGCAGGTGTCATGCTCTTGGATCTCCAGAACAAGATGCAAAGTGAGTCTCTTTTCTTTATTAATTACTCACCCTCAAGTATTTTGTTACGGCATCAAAAAATGGACTAATACAAGGTTCTTGCACATGTCCCCTTGTGGGACCAAAAGTCCAGTGAAATCTGAGACCCAGTGGTTCTAAGGATGCATACTGAGAAAGCTCATATTCTTGCTGGCAGAGGAGTGGATGTGGAAAGATTTTGTGTATCTATATGCTCAGGAAGTAGAGGTCAGTGCCTGAATCTCATCAAAATTCTAGGAATTCAGAGTTAGAGCCATGTTTCCCTAATCACAGAGTACACATCTTCACAGGATGCTTAGGAGCCAAGAACCACTTTGCTTCATCAGAACAGTAAGTGGGAAAAGAGACATAAAGATCTGGGGTGTCAGCAGCTGGTCCCACAGCACCTGTGCAGGCTGTGGTTTGTCCTTGGCCTTCTTCTGGAACATCTCCTTCTTCCTCATGCTTTTAATTACATGCTGGTGACTCCAATGTATTATCTTTAGCACTCATCCGTTCATCCGATTACCAAATGATATTTTCACATGAGCGCCCCAAACACACTGCACACCCATCATACCACAGATAAGCACATCTTCCTCTCCTCCCTTCTCCCCTTCCCTCACTCTCCTCTTCTCTCAGTGGATAGCGTAGCCCCTCTGCCCAGCCGCAAAAGCCAGAGATACAGCAGTCTTCATTTCCCCTGCCCTCCCTTAATGCTCTTATCTTTAAAGTTTAAGGAAGAACAAAAGATGGAAGTACACATTTTTGACGTGTAAAAAATTAAGATGAGCAAAACTGCATCTTTAGAGGTTCATTTCACAAAGTAAATGACAAGGAAAAAAGATCATAAACCAGTAATCAGACACTGCTCCAGTACTGCAAGACAGACTTCCTGATGAGTAACAACTATATTTCAAATAAAGTATGACCCGTTATCTCTTTATCACGGAAACATGTAATTCTTTCTAAAAACTGAAGATAAGGGCATATATTGACTGGTGCATTCACTTATTATAACATTCACTTTGCTCATAACTAGGATTAAAGCTTATATAAGTGAGAATAAATCAATGACAGCCCATTTTATAGGTTATTACATGCAATACACAATTTGAACCAATGTTCCAACTACATTTTTAGCCCAACGATGACTTTGTTTCTTTTTTTAAAGAGAAAAAAAAACCAAAGTTTCAAAACAAGATAACAGGAGAGTAACAATGGTTAATACACTGTGTATAGTTATTTTGAAAGTAGTTTCTCAGAGTACAAGATATAGCATGAAAAACTGTCCAAACAATAATAGCACAAACCTTTCTTTACAATGAACTAAGAGAAATTAGCAGCATCAATATCTTAACTATCTTGTATATGTGTATATATATATTTTTTTTTCCTTGTCATTTCCTTCTTGTCTCCTTTCCCAGTTTCTCTTTCCTTTTGAACAGTTTCTTCCCATTTCACAATATCTTTTACACATTTTGGATCTTCCAAGAGGTGAAATAAATCAGACTCACATGAGACTCTGTCTCAGTAACTGTTTCTAATAGAATGGCCAATTCAAGTGCCAGACTTTTAATAACATCAGTATTTTCAATTTGTTATTCCCTAATTTAAAAAAAAAAAACCCTCCCACTGTAGTAATCAGAGATGACAGCATCCTCAGCCCAATGACACAGAAACTATAAAAGGGCTGATTTCCTCAGTGTTTATTTTAAAAGGAAAAAAGGCACCGTCAGACAGTGGTCAAAGTACCTGTCATTGGCCGGGGTTCTTCTTGCCTATCTTTGACAATGATATCTTTAAAGAACAAAAGGGAAGGAGGCTGTGATGTAACCCTGAGAGTGGAGTGGCCTCCCCTGGGACAGGACAGTTACCACAGTCTGATCACTCAAGAACACATACTTTCAAGGATTCCACAGTTCTCCCATAACCTGGCTGCAAAAGCAGCCCTGTCGGAAAAAGACTATGCCAAATAATTTTGTTCTTTTCAAAAGAGTTTGCCATGCTATGTATTTGGTGCTTACTTCTTAAGGTATATTTATATGAGCAATGATACTACTTAAATGAGCAATTCCCTACAAATAAGTCAGACCAAGGTACCCCAAGAGAAATGTGCTAAGTAGGGGAACTTTAATATCTTAAAAAAATTAAAGCACCTTTTGATATACATTTAGACAGTTGTTCCAACTGAATCGTAGGTTTTCCCCACATGTAGAGTGTTAGGTAGTGAACCCCAGAGCCTTGTGCATGCTAAGTAAGTGCTCCAGCTTCGAACTACAGCTCATCCCCAACCAAAGACCTTAGAGAAGCCAATGAAGAGCTTTGTGAAGGCATCAACTTTTCCTGAAATCTAAGAAACTGAGAGGGCAGTGATGCATGACCTGGGTAGACAGAGGGGCTTCAATTAATCAACTTTCTTAGCTCAAACACAGCTGCTACCTGTTTTAGCTACATACCAGAAACAAGGGATCAAAGCCAGGGGGCTTTTAAATTAAAGATCGCAAAGTTCAACTCCTTCAATTAAGAGAGGAGGAGAATGAAGCTCAAACAAGTTGATCTGCTACAGAGAAAGAAAATAGTTTGCACACGGCAGTCATGCAACTCCTGAATGGAGAGCTGGGTGGAAGCCTGAATTCTTGCCAAACAACTCCCTGCCCTACTGTACCCAACAACTGCAGCTGCCGCCGGGCGGAAGGAAGGTTGCTGTGTGCTGGACTCGCAATCAAATGCCCTCTGTGAGTCAGCAGGAAGCCCTGTGCTTTCCACCCACCCTGCGGGTTGCATTTGTGGTAATGAATTAGCCCACAACACACACGGTGACCGTGAATGCTGACTGCTTTCTAAACAGTCATGAGAAAGCAGCCCCCTGAAAACTTCTGAAGAACTGCTTTGTGAACATAATTTGAAAGACTCTTTGGGGGCAGCACAAATAAAAGGAAGCTTTTGTGTTGCTGCCTTCCTGGTGCTTAGCATGGTTTCGGCCTCCCTCTGAGGAGAACTCCTCACTCACCATGGAACCAGGGAGCGATGGTGTCTGAGGTCTTCTCATAGCCGGCTCGGAAGGGAAGCTGCTCCTCTTTGAACCACTGAATGATGTCCTCCTGGGCAGAGCCAGACGCCGTCCTGGACACTCCTTGATTTCTGTGATGTGCAAGACAGTTTTCAGGTGCGGGTTAACTATATGTGTGTGCGCGCGCGCACACACACACACACACACACACACACACACACTATATTCTCTCAGCCTTCAGTATACTGGGCTCTGCAGCCTTGCATTCAACATACAGTCGAAAATATCCAATGGAAAAGAAGTGTGTTTGCAATGAACTAGTGCAGACTTTTCTCCTTGTCATTTATTCCTTAAACAATATAATGACCACTTCGCATTTATAACGCATTAGGCATTATAAGTCATCTTCGGATGATTTAAAATGTACAGGGGGATGTATACAAGCTATACGCTGTGACACTGTATATAAGGAATTTGGAGCTCTTCAGACTTTGATACATCCAGGGGTCCTGAAACCACGTCATTGTAGATATCCAGGGACAACTCTGTGTGTGTGTGTGTGTGTGTGTGTGTGTGTGTGCTTGTGTGTGTGTGTGAAAGACACAGAGAGAGAGACAGAGACACAGACAGAGAGAGGCAGAGACACAGACAGAGAGAAAGCTAGTGACAGAAAAACAGAGAGTGAGACTGAGAGAATATTATATACATTCCAACATCTAGTTACGCAGGCTGAGCTAATGGGAGGTCTGGCGCCCTGCGAACCACCACGATACAATTCCTTAAGGCAGACAGAGTAAAGAGCATTAATCTGTCACTTGGCTTCTAGCCCTAAATGGTTAGTCCTAGGTATGAACCACTGCTGTGTTAACACATAAGATTTAAATTCATTTTTAATAGGAATTAGAAGGCCCATTAATTTCCAATTAAAATGTGAGAACAGAACCATTAAAAAGTTGAAATATACCCCCAAAAGTGTTTTCCTGCAGAGTATATAATTGCAAACTAAATAAATTGCATGTAATAAGATAAATTTCTTCTGAAACACTTTTGTCATTTGATTCTCTCCTCTTTCTCTGTTTGCACTGGCCTGCCCAAATTGCTTTCTCTCTCACACTTGGAAGAAATTTACTTCTATTAAAAGACAGTCTTAGGCATATAACGTATAAGGAAGAAGACTCCTTGAAGATTAAGAAGGAAAAAGAAGTAAAACACCCATTTTTAACAAGTTCAGTAGCAGAACTCAAGATCTGGAATGTGAGTGAATTTCCACTACAAAAAGCAATATTACAATGTAGTAAACGTATTTCCAAGTTCTACATAACCGCCCACTGAGCTGAATTCAATTTCAAAACAGCAATGGCAAGTATTTGGCTTGGAATTTCCTGAAATATGAATTAATCTGACACTCTTTATACTTTTTTTAGTAATGCACACTACCATCAGTTACACGTCACATGTATGTCAGACAGACACATGCACATTATGTATGCAGACACATGTATATGTTATCTCTCATGATTACTAGAACATTTTGCAGAAAATATCCTATAACATTTTACTTTCTCAAGAAGTAGACACTGCATACACTTGAAATTATATGATTAAATTTTCATAATATAGCTTCAAAATGATATTCTTTTTCCTCCATAAAATTCTTGGAGACCAAGCACAACATCAAAGACCCTGGAGAGCCAGTCTCTATCCATTCCTGGCTGGCTCCTGGCTGACCTCTGACATCGTGGTTTGTAGAGTCAGCCTAACCCCATCTCGTCTGACACACTAGGAACACATCACGCAGCGTCTTAAATTGGAAAAGATGAGCTGAGAATAGCTGGTAAGAATTGCTCATTTTCTACAGACTACTTCATTGCTGTCAATCAAGGGCACTGTGCTCTAAAAGCACTGTAGCAAAGGGACATCTGGGAAGTCATATTCTCATGCCACCCTGGGAGACTCCAGGGAATAATTCGGGGCTGTATAGACCGCGCTAACCAGGCTTTGTGGCCAGCACACAGAGATCAGCCGAGGTGAGACAGGAGGTCCACGAGGAAAACAATCATTCCCCAGACTGCCATTCTGTAGGACATGGTCATTTAGAATTGGTGCCTACATCTCAAAGTGGAACCTTTCAGGAGAGAAGTGAAAATAATTACAGTAGAGGAAAAAGTCTACCTTCGTGTTTTTTCTGAAGTCATAATCCTGTGAAAAAAGAAATGAACACCTACTAGCTCCAAGCAAAGGGAGATTTTTGCTTGTGTTTCATTTCACCATACACCTGACAAAGAAGTACTTTTAGTTTTCATTGCAAAACATAAGGTTATAGAAATTGTACCTCGTTCAATCAATGACTGATTTCTAAATATTTCCTTTTTAAATATTAGGGCTGCAAGTGTAGTTCAGTGGTAGAGCATCTCCCTAGCATGCATAAGGCCCTGGGTTCAATTCCCAGCATCCTTAACTAATTAACAATTAAATTATCTAAAAATACGGTAACACGAGTAACCAGGAAAAAAGAACTTCCTCTTCAGCAGACATGAAGCCTAGGTGGTTTCCACTATACTATCACTGTATTCTTCTTCAAAGGTTTGCCCCCAAATTGTTTTCCTAATGCCCCCACAACCTAGGAGGTCAGCAAATAGAGCATTTCCAAGTTCTCAAAATCTAAACTTGGATTTTGCAGAAAATATCCTATCACATTTGACTTCCTCAAGAAGTAGACACTGCATGCACCTCAGAACAAGGACAGCCATTGAACGCTGACTTCTCAGCAGTGAAACGAGGTCCTGGTGATGTGGAAGTCAGCCAGCCCTTACACTCTTACTTGTTCTTTTACCATGAAGAGCGTCTCAAAGGTTTCAGAAACCCATGGTGTTCTTTGCCCCTCACTTACTCACCTGCTGCCGCTGGGAGGATATGGGGCACAGAAGTTATCTAACCAGATGCTCATCTTCACTACACTATTGGTGATATAATAGTATTGTTGTGGATATTTCACAGGTAGGAAAAGGGTGAATGATCTCCCAGAAAGGGTCAGAGGTGACGATGAAGACATGAGCTGGTCCTGCACTTCTCAGGGCACTTTGAGCTTTACTCAGCACATCTCAGAACTTAGCACAAAGCCATCCTGTGGCTTCTTACCCCAGAGGCTTCGGGGGGCATCCCGCTGGTGTGAGGAACTGGGGCTTGGGTGGAAGGGGAGGTCTTCTGGGCTTCTGTGGAACACCAGCACTCTGCAGCCCCTCGCCACTTCTTCCTCTCTGGGACAGCCTCTTGTAGTCTTCCCGGGCTTGCTTAGCCAAGGAGCGCCTCTTCTCATCAGCTGCTTTGGATTTTCGCACTAGAACAACAACAGGGTTTCAGAAGGGCCTTCGTCAGCTCACTGAGACGTGAGGAGATGCAGGGATGCGCCAGAGGGCATGGAGTGGCTCTGCGGAGACCAGCACTTGTTTATATTAATGAGCAATCACTATCAATGCCTGTTATCCAGATGCTAGGGCTCACCCAACAGTCACCGCAGAATTCCTCTCTTCTTTTGGGAGCCAGGTGGTGTTTTCAGAGGAAAAAAAAGAAAGAGCACAAAGGGCCAGAATTCCCTCCAGCTGGCAAGACTAAGTGATGAACGCCACCTTGGCAAGAATTTAAGTGGGCAGGGGCAGGGAGGAGTAAAGCCAGGGTTGCATCGCTCACACACTCATGTTCGAGATGCAGTGTGTGCTAGGTCACTAGCAGAAACCTGGCAGCAGGATCCCTTAGCACCGTGTGCTGGGGACAGGGCAGAGAGCAGTGAGGCTCATTGTGAGCTGAACTGAATCTGTATTGGCCTGAGAAGAAAGAGTAAAGGACACTGAAGTATGTTCTAGATCATTGTAAAACATGCTGGTACCCATCAAGTGTACCTCAAGGCTGCCTTTCAGTATCACTTTGTACAAAGAGGGTTTTGGGTTGTTTTAGCCATATAGCGTTAAAGACTAATTTAGAACAGAAAACAATTTTTACTGAGTGTATTTGTATTTCAGGCATTGTCAGTCAGATTCTGTTACATTTGACTTCAAAGACATAGCAAAAATACCCCAGTACACTGAGATTTCAATGCATAGTACAAGGTAACCAATGATTGGATCTTATAAATATTTTTCTTTCACAAAAGATATTTTAATGGCATTTGTTGGGACTAGGAACTAATTTAGGATTTCAGTGTCCTACAAATCCTTCCACTGCTGTTCTCTTTATTACCTGCCTCAAGGGCAGTTTAGGCTTCTCTGTTTATGATGCCCTAATCCCTTCTCAAACTTGAACTCTAGCACCCTGATGCATCCCATGCTAGGCCTTCATCGGCATTGGTTTATTCCCCTATGAGGTTTATTTCTGGCAATGCCAGCTCAGTAACGGGCTGCTGGGCCACAGGCACTAGTGAAAATAAGACACAATACATCCACCTCTTATCTGTAGCTCTTCATGTCACAAAGTTCTGTGTATCCAAATATCACACTACACCCTGTGAGAACAATGCACATGAGATTAAAAATAAAATGAAACTTTTAAATAATGTATTCACTGCTGAAAACTTAGGGGAAAAAATTCCAGTCAGAAATGACAAGAAGTAAAAATTCAAATAGCTATTTCAAAAAATTGTAATAAGCACATATGTGCCGTACTACATTCCTCAAAGGAACTGGCACATGTACTTAACACATCTTAAATCTTTTGTCATGCCTTTCCCCCCTCTCTTCCTCCCTCCACCTCTTGATTCCTTTCCCACTCGAGAAAAGTCTATCTACCTACTTCGTACTATTCATTTTTTATTTTGCACTTTATTTATATTTTGAGTTTCTCATATAAGAGAAACCATGTGATACCTAAGCTTGTGTGTCTGATTTACTTTACTTAGCATTACAGACTTGAGGTGTACACATTTTCCTACAAATGACTAAAATTCATCCTTCTTTACGGCAGAGTAGCACTCCATGGTATGTAAATACCACATACTCTTTATCCATTCATCTGTTTATGAACATCAAGGCAGCCTCCAAGATTTAGCTGTTATGAATTGTGTTGCTATAAACATGGATGTGCATGTATCATTGAAATATGATGTTTTTAACTCTTTGAGGAAGATACCTAGAAAAGGAGTAACTGGGACAACAGATTTTCCATGTTTAGGTTTTTGAGGAATTTCTACACGAATGGGTGATTGTGCCAGCAACCAACAATGAAGAAGGGTTTTTCATGCAACTTATCCAGTATTTGATATTGGTTGATTTCTTGAGGACAGCTATTCTCTCTGGAATGAGATGGAATCTCAGTATTTTAATTTGCATTTCTCAAATAATCAGCAATGTTGAGTATATTTTCATGTAATCATTGGTCTTTGATCAATAATATTAAATCCCACTTCATCAAGAAACCTTGAGTCAGTAACCTTTCAGTTCTTTTCCTCATAATTTAAGCCTTTAAAAATCGTGATTTTTTTCATGCTATTTTATAGTGTTTTACTTTTGCAATCTAAAGAGATAAAAATATATTCTAAAGTCATTAAAAATTCTTCCAAACCTGCTTTTCATAGCTAGATATCATTCCATCACCTAGTTATATCATCGTGATGGTACGGAAATAAAGTAAGAATTATTTTGCAATCAAAAAGAACTCATAAACATTTGAGTAATCACTTAGTAAGAACATTTGGGTACAATTCAGTGTTAAGGCATCTCTCAAAGACTACTTTCATTCCTTCTCAGATTGATCATATTGTTATGTAAAAGATTCAGCCTAGAGGCTCAAAGATGCTCCTGGGGCCCCTGGGTACTCACAAGATGCCTGCCACTCTGAATCTTCTTTCCAGTTCTTACAAATCTGCTTGGTTTTCTCTTCATCTATTTGTTTTATTTCTTCATCTTGTTTTATTTTCACAGATTCTTCCTTCTGTTTAAAAAAAAATTGCAAACGAGCACTGGTGAGCAAATCCAGTATCTTCCTGCAAGGATGGGAGGCAAACCTGACCCCTAGTAAACCCTGGGCAACCGGGAGGCAGCTGGTGTCAGCAACCCTGGAAGCTGGTATCGCTGCTACCGGTCAGCATTCCTGAAAGGACCTTGAGGAGTCTCTGGCAGGCAGTTTCCCCGTGAGTAAAACAAGAAAGAATATTTGGTGGAGATACAGTGAGGGCTGAATTTTAGAAAGTGCCAAGCACAACAGGTAACACACAGTAAGAACGCAATGAACAGTCCTTTCCCTTGGGTGTAACACTCAGCAGCTTCAAATGTCCTTCCCTGAGGTACACACAACGTGTCACAGCACCTGTGTAAACAGCATTCCGCTGAGCCTGACGGGTCCCACTGAAGGACTGCACATTCCCAGAGCCGTGTCAGCCCGGTCTGCACATGCTCTGGAATCCTGTGCCCCGCAGTGTCTCATTACACACAACCTTAAGTGGCTCAGAAAGGAATATTTTTGTTCAAGACCAACCAGAAAAATATTTTTTTTCAAATGACCTTTGAAGCCTAAGGATTTAGCTCAGTGGCATAAGCATTTACCCGGCAAGAGCAAGGTCATGAGTTCGATCCCTAGTACCAAAATAAAATAAAATGACCTTTGAATAGGAAAAATACAGCGTAATAAATGTGAGTGTCCCTTTACAAAGGGAGTTCTGGTTTTTTTTTTTTTTTTTGACTGCAGTAAAATACATATAACGAAATTTATTATTGTTACCATTTGTAGGTACGCTGTTCTGTGATATTAAGTACAATCAAGGGAATTCACTTTGTACTAAAGAGAAATGCACACAGCAAATCACTTAATCCTAGAAAGTTGTTTTTTAAAAAATCTGGATACAGCCTTCTAAGCATTCATAACAAAACTGAATTTACAACTTAATGAATCAATAAAAGCCTTGGTTAGCTAAGTAATAAAGCAGGCTGAGTGAGCCAGCAAAGCCTGACCTTGTGTCCTTCTCCTTCACAAGGAACAGGACTTTTTTTTTTCCTTCCTGTATTTTCCTACAGAAAGATAAAGGCTTCCTTGCTGTGAAATTGTTTCACCAAACCCTGATGTTGTAAAACTTGACTTTGATCACTGTGGGAAGTCTTAAGTCACAGTGAATGTAGCGATAATTTATAGTTCAGATATAATTAAACTTTTGCACATCTTGTATTTTTCTCTTACACTGTTTTCCTGCCTAGAGCTAACCTCCTGTTTGTTAACAATAGAGTGCATGATAAAAGCCAGAGGTCCGCTTTTGGTGTTTGAAATGACTCTTAAAATTTGCAATCGTTGGTGGAAACTCTGAGTCTGAAATATATAAAAGTGTTGCTAACAGTTTCCAAACTTGAACAGAAAGAACTTAAAAGTGAAGCTTGGTTCGTCTTGAAGATGCCAGAGTATCTGTTTCTAAGGGACTAGGAATCAGAGCTATAACCTCAAACTAGGATTGTTGCGGATATCTTGGCTTAGGGTACGCAAGAACTTAAAGTGAACTTAAATTTGTTTTACCTTTTCTTCTTCATATTAATAAATAAATTAATATAAAAAATAAAGTAAAAAAAATAAAGTGAGAAGGATAAAGAAGGAATAGTAAATGAACAATACTTCGGGCAGTGCGTGGTTCAGTGGTGCTGCTCAGATGTCTGGGAGTACTGTGTTTAGTAAATCTGCTCCTTTTTAATCTGCAGCATAATTACAGGGCACAGTGGGGAAGGAGACAAAATTAATGAGCTTCACAGAGCAATAGCCGATGAGATCTGGCTCTGACCTCTCTAGTTACTCAATCTCTTGAGCAGGAAGCTGTTTCATTACCTTGGCTCTAGAGAAGCTTTGGAAGGGATCTGCTTCATTCTCTCCAATTATCAGGTGCTCCTTAGCAATGCCAAGCCAGCTCCAGCCTCAGTGCCTTTACCCCACCGCTCCTTTGGCCAGGAGCATCCTCCCCCAGACACCCACGTCAGGCCCTCCCCAGGCCCTTCCCCTCTGCTCCAGCGTCAGCTTCTCAGGCAGCCCTCTGGGACCCTTCTTTGAAACCCCCCTTCCCATCCTGTAGCCATCCTTGGACCCTGAATTCTGTTTTGGTTTCACCAATTGCACTTAGGATGGAGTGACTCCGTGGATTTAGCACTTGCCTCCTCCACTCAAAATCAGCTTCTTGCAGACAGAAATTTTATCTAAGTTGTTCGTTAAATGTGTCTCCAGTTTCCACATCAGAACCTCACATCAACAAGCACTCAGTACACATTTGTTGAATGAGTACATGGATTCGCTTTCTTAACTGACTTTACTTAAGATCACTTAATGCAGTCTAAGAAAAGCCACTGACAATTTCCTTTGATCCTTTATTGCTGCTGTTTTAGAAAAGATATGTACAGCTGTCAATACTACAAGTGTGTGGTACAAAAACCCTTGCAAATATCAAAATCTCTGTATACTCAGGTCCCTCCCATCAATGGACATCCTCCCATGTACTCTAAGCCATCTTTTATAACACCCCATACAATGTAAATGCTATAAGAATTTATTATATATATTTTTGAGACAGAGGCTCCTAAGTCACTAGGTTGCCCAAGCTGGACTTGAACATTTATCCTCCTGCCTCAGCCTCCTGGAGTGCTGGAATTATAGCCCAGAGCCACTACATCCAGTTTATTAAGCTGTGTTGTTTAGGGAATAATGACCAAAAAAATCTGTAGACAGATGCAAAATTGTTTTCAAACATTTTTGATCTGTGGTTGGTTGAATTCCCACATGTTTAACTCATAGATAGAGGGCTCACTATTACACATATGGGAATAGAATTCCAAAATTTCATCATAGTTTCTTGAAATTTCAAAACTGCAGTCTACCCAGGTCCACACACATCCTGTGGAGAAATCAGGAAATCCACAGAACTGGATGGCCAGGCCCTCTCTAGCCCAGTCCCAGGCCTGCAGCTATTCAGAACCTTCCTATCCTGCTGTTTCAGACTTTCTGTGGGTCAAATCCAACTGCAGTTCCTAAGTGCAAGTATACAGCTCATTCACTTTGCACAGTGTATGATGTGCCAACAAAAGGCATGGTGAGGAAGGGCTTGGTCTGTAGGCAGAACATCCCATCTGGATGGACAGGGGAGTGACCCAGTGCCTGCAGCAGCTCTGGCTCAGTGGACCTGGGCGGCACAGATGCTGCTCCTTCAAGGGTCAGGTTCACGGAAACACAATCAACTTCCCTGGAGCACACCATCTGTCACTCTGAAATCAGTCTTCCCTCCATGTCTGCAGTGGCCCAGGATCTCACCTCTGCCTTAGCTCTCCAATGAGGAGTTCAGCAGCTACACCCCACCATCTGTTCTTTCCATGACATCCAAGAAGTTCCCACCCCGAGATAAATGGGTAAAGATGGATAGCTGCATTTGCAGTTTTTAAGACAGATTTCACATTCTATTGCTTCACTTCTGCATGAGACTAATAAACTAATTTGTGACACGTTAGTGTAAATGGCTGTGCATTTAGCCCCCTGAAGACAGAACGTAAGTCTTTTACCTGGTGAAATCCATATGCCTTCATACGATTGATAGAATCTGCCAACATTTGTTGAACATTTCTTGAAGAACTGGAGGGTGACTAAAATTAAATGAAACACATTTTTGTAGCACTTAGAACTGTGATGTAATTTCAAAAGCTAATCTGTCAGTGCTTCCCTAGTTTCTACATTCTCTATTGCTGTCCACCATCCTCAGAGCTGTAGCCACCAAAATTTCCCCTCCTAGTGGTACCTGAACTCCTGAGCCAAACCTGACCTGAGCAGCAGGCCCACGAAGCCTCGGCACCCTCATTCAGGGAGGGCACAGAAATGAAGCTCTTGGAGAGCCAGGAGCCAACAGTTTGGTGTGTCTTACTCTTGTCTGGCCATGGGGCCTTGCAATGACTTCTAGACACTGACAATACTCCCTAATTTAAATTCCCTTCATGCTTGATCTCTACATCCCCCGTGTTTGTTCAGATAAGAGAAATGCCTTAGTCTCTAGCACTTAGCTATGTAACACTGGACCTCTCTCCAGGCCTGGAGATCTGCCTGGGATGCCTGTTTGAAGCCAGGGAGTCCAGCCTCAATCATACCTCTCTTCTTTCCCTGCCCTTGTTTATACTGTTCCAGGTAGATTTCTCAGGAGGAAACTTCCCAGATCCGTTTTCCTGGATTCTCTAGTGTCATTCCTCCCCGGCATGCACTAAACCTCTCTGGCATTGTGACCAAGCTGGCAGGATCACCACAGGTACCTCTTAAAACTTGCTCAGTTACACAAGATCCTGTCCTTCCTCTGGGCACTGAGCATGAGCTAAGTCCAGCGTGGGTAGCCACACACCCCATGACAGTCCTACATAGTCAACATGGCCCACATTACTATAGCTTACATGTCTTATCCCTGGGGACTCTTTCTTGTTTTGGCACAGATCAGAAATCATTAACAAATTTTCAGCAAAAGGTCAGTACCAGTACTCGGCAAGGAGCCCAGAGGGCGGTGTGAGGTTACTACCATGCTGTGTGGAAACCAGTGTGGCAGAGACCACCAGTTTCGCAGTAATGTCCCTTTCCATAGCACTGGAGTACATGGCTACCCAGCCACACTACTGCTCCAGCGATGAGGAGTGCCCAGGTGAAGAAGTTATCTCAACACAATGCAGGTGACAACTGAATTTGCTCTTTCTTTTCAAGTCCTTAAAACATCCTTCACGCACTGCTCCAGGCTCTTTCTCTCTCCTTGACTAGGAATGGTGACAGTGGCCACGCCACCAAGGACCTCAGGGTCACCAAAACCTGAAACCATGAATGATTGTGTGGGGCTGATCCCTCCTGAGCTAGAACACCCCTCCTGTACTGATAATAGAAAAGGTAATTTGCATTGTGATTTATGCATTGCACAAAACGGGTCTGTTTTCTTCAAACCTTTACCTGATGAGACTGTCCGTGATAAATGCTAGTGAAGTTTTGCGCTCTCTCCTTAGCGATTCCCACTCATCACAGGTAGCTCGAAAAACGCTGCTTTAACAAATGATTACTATCACTACAGACCTACTATGGCCAGGTGCTGCATTAGTGATTTATTATTTTAGTTCCAATAACATCTCTGAGGGATGGGCGACATAATGCCCAATTTTCAGATGAAGAAACTAAGAGTCAGAGGAGTTGTGCAGTCTGCTCAGGACCACACAGCTGCCTTGGGCCAGAGTTTATGCTTTTTCCACTTTGCGGACATTATAGTGACAAGAAAATGAGCCATAGATCGAAAGTCTCCTCGTGCTTATTACTTGGCAAAGCAGTAAATCAAGAGTTTCCCAATCACTATTTACTATCTCCTCTCTACCTTTCGTCATTATAATATTATGAAAGAATGCTTAGCTGCTTTTCATCTAACAAAGACCAGTACCCTAAACAGTTCCTTGATTCATGAACAAGTGTTCCAAGAGGTTTTGCACAAGTCTGTGAAAAATTCAAAATAACTGAAAATCTTTGAAGGTATTTTTAAAATAAGGACAATAGCTGTGAAAATAAGTTCCCTGTCTTTTCCTCACTGATCTAAGGTCCATGGGGATGGCAACAAAAATGACCAGTCTCTTATGTGTTCAAAATGAGGAGGCAAATAACCATCCTCCCTTGACACCTGCTCGAATTTTGTAGATAAGAGTTCCAAATATTCTATCGGTACTCAGGATCTGAAGAACCAGGAACTGTTGCTACAGTTTGGGCCCAAGTGTCCCCCAAAGGCCCACATCACTATCAGGAGATAGAAGTAAGCTGCAGGAAGAGGTCTTTAGGTTATTAAGAGCATGCTCTTGAAGGGGACTGTCAAGTCCCAGCCCCTTCCTCTGTGTCTCTTTTGTTTCCTGGTCAGGAGTTGAGTGGCCTTGTGCTGTCATATGCTGCCACCATGATGTCCTGCCTCCCCACAGGCTCAAAAACAATGGAGCCATTCGTGCATGGACTGAAATCTCCAAATCTGTGAGCCTCGATAAACCTTTTCTCTAGGAAAATTGATTGTCTCAGTGTTCTGTAGTGATGGAGAGCTGACCAGCACACCTACGTAATAAGCAGTCTTGCTCCAAGATTTTGTCAGCAGCATGTTCATTGTGTTCTGCCCTTGAGCTCTAAACAAACTCTTGGTTGTTTATTGAATTAGCACCAGAGCAACAGGCATCTAATGCCTTTTAGCTGCAGATAACTTCAAACATAATAAAATCAAACAGAACAGAATAAAATAGAAACAATGAATGTAATAAAGGACTTTAAAACAAGCCTATAGTAGATCCAAAATTGCTACCATAATACATTTTGCTAGCATTGAATTAGCTGCTCTTGCCATTGGATTTGACATAATCAAACAAAACAGAAGAGAATAAAACCCAACCCAACCAAACAATGGAAATGATACAGGACTTCCAAAACAAAGCCATAGGGAATCAACAATGGCTGCAACCCTCAGAAGGAGATCCTCCCTAGATGTCACACTACGTACTGATATCTCTGAAGCTATGATTAGACCACTGGCCCTAGACCTACTATGTTAGTGAAACAACGAAGCACCTAGATAGTTATCACAGCCTGTGTTTCTCTGGTAATCTGATCACTTACAGTGAGGGCTGGAGTGGGGATGGGGGTGCTGTACTTCTTGCTTGCCAGCCTGCACACCTGAAGGGCTAGGATCTAGCTGTTCCAGTCCAGAAGTGGCCCACTCATGGTGCTGGTTCCTAGACTGGGCTTGCTTGCTGGTGTGGCCTTGTTCTCTCTACCTCTGGTCCATGAATGGTGCTGACTCATGGGGAAAGGCTGGGTCTGCCTGCCAGTCCAGTGGTGGCCCACACATGGTGCTGTTTCTCAGACAGGGCCATGTTTTCTCTATGCCCTGTTCACCACCACCGGCTTTTAAAAACTTATCTGAAATTTTCTTCTCATTGTGTGCCTTTTCTTACTAGCCCTTTCAATGGGCTCACTGCTTTGGCATTTATCTTATATTTCAAGGTTATTAATATTCTTACAACAACCTCAAGCTAAGCACAGATGTGTACCAGATAGCATGATGGAAGGACCTGAGGTCAGGGATTGAAGTGATTGCCATTGACACCATGTACATGTGCTGGGCAAGGGTGCCATGCATTCTTTGTCTATGAGGTTTTAGATTTTATTTTCGTGTACCAAAGTTCACCAGCTGATTCCACAGAAGAAGAGTTTTAGCATAGAATTGGTAAATGTAGCAACCACTCCAGAGATGGATACATCTACTCAAATACTTCCATATGTTACAGCATTCTATGAAACCAAAAATGTTCACCTATATCAAGAATAACATTTATAAAAGTTCTGCTTTGCAAGTTGATGCAAGATTTGCCATTATTCTAAAGTATTAAAATAATATGAAGAACTTAATACCTACAGGTTCATTCAGATACATTTCCAAGTTCTACATATCCAGGAAATGCATCACTTACAATATAACATACTAAAAACAGTGCGATCCAAAAGAAATTCCTCTTAATAAGATTATATCCAATTTAAACAGTGATGAATTGCATTGCCAATAACAGAAGGAAACTACCTCAGAAAGATCACTGCCATTCAAAGCATTTCCAAAGGAAGATCAAAGGCGTCCTTAGAGAAGGTACTATGTTCTCTCTAAAGCACCCATGGGATGCTCTTTTCCAGGGACTGTTCCACATAGTTCCTACACAAAAAGAAAGCTACGTGCATAATTTCATCTTACAAAGCACTTTCAAGTCTAGTACATCATTTGACTTTCCTATCAGGTGTCAGAGTAGGTAAGTATTATCCCTTTTCCCAAGAGGTAAGGTGACTCATTAATAGGGAGGAGAATAGGGACTGGAACCTATGTCCTGCTGTATGTAAGGCTTGCTCCTTCCATGGGGGTCCAGACGAGCCTGTGTGTGCTCTCACCTACATCAGCCTCTACCATAACTGTCCACCTGCTACATTAGAGATTTTTGGCAGCTGATGAAACTCTAGAGGCAGGGCTAAGAAAATCTTGCCTGCTTCATATCTGCTGTACTATGAAGATTTATGCAGAAGCTCCCCAAAATAAAAAGAGAAAGTGAATGCTAATAACAAAGGGAGGTGAGAACATCCTGCAGACTCCAAGTTAGAATGAAGACTGATGACATCTAGGAGCATATTCTACCTGGACTGGCCAGAGGAGAGTATCTCTAAAATACAGTTAAACTCAGAAGCACAAGACTCAAATCTACATAAGCAAATGAATTACAAACAGATGTTGCTGGCATTAATACCACATGGTTATTATTTCACCAGAGAACAGGTGTCACATGAGAAGGATTATTCTAATTATACTTGCTTTTAAAACTGATTTGGAAAACCATTCATTCTGGCTCTTAACTTAATAGTCACAGTTTTTAAAAGTAGGGTTACACAGTCAGACAAATGCCAAATGCCTGTAATTGAAACTAAACCAGGAAATTCCAATTAACAGAAGTCTTTAAGCATTCAGTGTCTGTGCTAAAGATGAAAATGGTGAGTGGACAGGGAAAAAACAAGAGTTTATTTTTGAAAAGACAACACTAAGTATTTACTCAGTCCAGGTCTTACACCTCGGAGATCC